AGCCTGTGATGCCTTGCAAGCAAATGAAAGAATACACCGAGCCTGATATCTAGTGGGGTGTAAGTCCCGCCCTGAGGGCAAGGGTGGGATCTGTGCAGACCTTCCCACAGGACCAGGTTGGATCATTCAGGAAATGAATCTAAATCACAATCTAGGAGGGCAATAGGAGATCAAAGGCGAAGTTCTGGTGCTCTATTCTAAGTCCAAGGTGTGAGTCAAATATGTAAAAAAAAAAAAAAAAAAAAAAGGCGTCCTGAAGTTAGAAGGAAGGGAATTGGTGTGCACATTGTTAATATGGGGCTATTATTAATGTGACGGATGTTAGAGAATCATATACAGGCAGTGTCAGTATCATTGGAGCAGGGTCCTGGTCCCTGATGTGTGAGACAGATGAACAGCCTTTCTGATCGGCCCCCTTCACTGACTGGGCTCTCGGCTTGCCCACCAAAGGACTGTAACTCACTCTGCAGTATTTGCAGTGAGTTTTACCTTCCATACATGATCCCCCAGTCTGTACTGTACTCTCTGAACTAGTTATTCATCGAAGCTGGTCTCAATGGCAGGTGAGAAAGATTTAGGTGTCATACCACAGGTCTATTTAGGGTGTGGTTTCTAGAACCAGTCTCTTTGGGGGAGATGCTGAAACAAAATGCTAACATGATCTTCTAAGTAAGTGATATATACAAAAAGGATAGACAGGGACAGATAATCCAGCTGACGGCAGCAGGCCTAACTAATACTGGAAAAACTAGATCCACAGATTGCAAAGATCCATGGGGACACTAATAGGCAAAGCCTAGAGTAATTCCTAAAACCAATGATAAAGCAGCTCAGTGATTCAGGTCAGTGGCAACCTCAAGCTTGGGTTATGTGATGAAATGGGCACCCCCATACTTGAATTCCACCCCTTCAGATTTCATGGATACCCACCAGATGGTGCCGAGAAGTTTTCCTCAACATTGTGTGAACACGAGAATCACCTGGCCTACTTTTTAAGAACATTGATGCCTGAAGCCCATCCTCAGAAAGCTTGATTTAATTCGTGTGGAATGGGGAATCTCAATCTTACAGTTCCTATTTTTACTCTCTGAGGATTATGATATGCAATCAGTAGTGAGACCTGCTGCTATAGGTCATAAAAGTGCATCTGCCATTGCCTCTTGATGAGGCCGGTCAGTTCCAGATGAGGATTTAGTCTGATGGAAAAGTTCTAGCAGCAAATTTCTCAGCCATGTGGTTTCAGATAGATACTAATACTCAAACCTCCATGAAATCAGTTTCTTCAAGGAGTTTTGGCAGCTTGTCTAATACGTTTTTAACCTGCACTTTTAGAAGATTGAAGCTCATCAAGCCTTCTGATTTTCTGAATGATGTAGGCAAGGGTCAGGCTTACAGAAATGGTATCTCCAGTCATTAGGGTTGCCTAATGACAAGCAAGTCTTGCAAAAATATGATATGAGTGGTCCACCAGGAGATGATAACCTAGAGAAATACAGACCTAGGTCTGTCCTAGACCACACGATCAAGAACTTTCTTCCTCTTCATGCACTTAGTTTTTCATTTATTCGTTCGTAAAGCATTTACTGAGCACCTACTATGTTCCAGACACTTGATATGTAAGCTGAGCAAGATTGAAAATTTCCTTAACTCACTGATATTTTTACCTAGAACATAAGATCTGTTAGTTTGGGGATCACAGTTTCTGTCTTATTTTGTTTTGTTGTTTTGCATACCATTGTATCCTCAAAGCCTAGAAAATAATAGACAGTAAATATCTGATGAGTGAATAAATGAGTGAATAAATAAATTAAATTAAACATGTCATTGCAAAGGCACTTATGTTATAGGGAAGAACAAGATGTTATAAGAATATGTACGTAGAAAAGTAAATTACATGAGGGGTTAGGGAAGATTTTCTGTAAAAAAAAAAATATGTTGAAGATGAGATCAGTGTGGTGAATAGGAAACAGTAGGTTTAAAGGCCTGAGGCTGTGAGAAAATGTAGCTTATCTTGGGCATTTCAAGTTCGGCATGGCTGGGGGAAAAGTGAAGGTGAAGAATTAGGAAGAAGACGGGCCATGTAGAGAGCTCTGGACCATGTGTGTTAGTTTCCTGTAGCAGCTGTAACAAATGACCACATGTTAGTGGCTTAAACAACACAGATTTATTATCTTACAGTTGTATAGGTCAGGCATCTGAAATGGGTCTCACTGGCCTAAAATCAAGGCTCTGGCAGGGCTACGGTCCTTTCTGGAGGCTCTAGGGGAGAATCTATTCCCCTGCCTCTTCCAGCTTCTAGAGGCTGCCTGCATTCCTTGGTGAAACTCCTTCTGTCTTCAGAGCCAGCAAGAGTGGATGGAGTCCATTTTCATGCTTTGAATTTCTCCTGCCACTTCTGTCTGCACATCTCTCTGAACCACTCTTCTCCTTTTAAGAGCTTGCATAATTGGAATGGGCTCATCCAGGTAAAATACAGAATAATTTCCTCTTAATCACACGCTCAGAGTCCCTTTTTCCATGTAAAGTAACATATTCACAGATTCTGGGGATTAAGACACAGATGTTTTGGGGGGTCATTACTCTGCCTACCATATCATGTTAGAAAGTTTGGACTTTATCCTCAGAACAGAGAGAAGCTACTGAAGAGTTTCAGTAGGGGAATGAATGATAAGCTTTGCATTTTTAAAAGATCGCTCTGGGGGCTTCCCTGGTGACGCAGTGGTTGAGAGTCTGCCTGCTAATGCAGGGGACACGGGTTCGAGTCCTGGTCTGGGAGGATCCCACATGCCGCAGAGCAACTGGGCCCGTGGGCCACAACTACTGAGCCTGCGTGTCTGGAGCCTGTGCTCTGCAACGAGAGAAGCCGCGATGGTGAGAGGCTCGCGCACCGCAATGAAGAGTGGACCCCGCTTGCCACAACTAGAGAAAGCCCTTGCACAGAAACGAAGACCCAACACAGCCAAAAAAAATAAATTAAATAAATTAAAAGAATGCTCAACATTTAAAAAAAAAAAAGATCGCTCTGGGCGATTTAGGGAAACAGGATTAGAAAAAAATGACTGTCATCTAGGAGAGATGAAATGTTAGTGTAGACCAGAGAAGTGTCTGGAAGAGATGAAGGGTGGAAGGATTTGAGAGTCATTTATGACTGTAAAGAACAGATTTTAGTGGTTGATTCGATATGGGGGATGAGCTTTGATAAGACAAGTACCACCCTAGTCTGGTTAGGGTGACTGCATAAATGGAGACACTGTTTACCAAGACAATAAATACAGGAGGAGAAGCCTTGAGAGAAGAGGAAAAAGAATGGATTTGTCTGGGGATACATTAAATTCGTGAGGCATGAAGACATTTAAGTGCAGATGTCCAACTGGGAGTTATATCCAAGGGTTTAAAATTCAGAAGAGATGTCTGGCCTGCAGACTTAGCTCTGGGTGTCATTAACATATACATGGAAACCAAAGCCCTGGGAAAAGTGTAGAAAGAAAAAGAAAAGAGATCCAAGGACAGGAGCTTGAGGAAAAACAGCATTTCTGAGACTGTCAAAGGAGAAGGAGCCTGAACAGGAGAGTAGGAGAACAGGATGCAGGGGAAAGAAGCAATAAAAGGGGTCTAATGTCATTCAGTCCAAGGGAAGAGATTATTTTAAAGAGCAAGAGTGGTCAACCGTATTGACAGCTGTGAAGCAGTTGATAAGATAAGAACTGAGGGAAACCACGGAGCCGGCCACTTGAAGTCATTGCTGACTATGGCAAGAGCGATGACCTTGGGTCAGGAGGGTTGAGCTGTAATTGGAAGGTAAGGAACGAGAAACCAGGGTGCAAACTACTTTTTCCAGAAAGTTGGCCTAAAAAAGATGAGAGAATTTTGGAGGTAGCTAAAAGGAGGAGATGAGACTTGTTTTTATTTTGGAAGAGAGAGAAACAGAAATATGTTTATAGCAATTCCTTTGAGTGTCATTGTGAAGGGTGGGAGGGAGGTGGGGTAGCTTGAAGGAAATGTAAAGTTCAGGAAGAGTATTCTATTTGTTCATTCCTTAGTTTGTTTATGTTTAATGTCAAAGACTTGAACACATTGTATTACAAATGGCAAGGAGCTGGTTGTAAGGGAGAGGTTTAAATGGAGGAGAATCTCGGTTATCAAGAGCTCAAAGACATGCTGGGATCTAGAGTTTTAGGGGAGGGATGGGCCTTACCATCCCTCTGAAATAAGAGGCTGCACCAGAAAAAGGATAGGTGCCCGTTCGGGGAAAATGGGGCAGGAAGTTGATAAGATTCTTGTTTCATGGCTTCTGTTTTTGGATTTCTTTCTGTCACTGAATAAGATAGTAATCCAAGGGGATGCTGCAACTACAAGAGATCCAAATGGTGAACCAAGAGAGATAGAACAGTTCAAAGCCAGAAGAGCACAGCTGGGGGTGGGAGGGAAGGTTAGAAGTGCCAAAAAGTATACCTTGAAATTCAGAAAGATGAGGAATAAGTCCAGATACGGACTGTGAAACGGGAAGTTCGCACATACAGAATCTAGGGACAGGAGAGCTTGATTTATGAGGTGCTTACCACAGGAACGGCTGGGTGCGCTGGCTTAAATTTGCAAGAAAACCCAGCAACTTGAGGCTTTGCCGGACTCTCTGGGGGGTACAAAGTGAAACAAGGCTTCTAGCTTCAATGAATCTGTACACTAGTTGGAAATATAAGATTAATCAGAGAAGAACACATAGCCGGATGACTTGCTAGTTTTCTTCATCACCATCATCATTATTGTTGTTGTTGTTAGGGCGAAGGTTAAATTACAATGCAGTACAAGAATTAAACAAAAAGTTGAGTTGAAAATACAAAATAGCACGTGATCAAGTGTCAAAATGCGAGATGGAAGAAAAGGATAAATACTGTGGTTCAGAAGGGGGAAAGGAGTAAATAAAATTGAACGGGTTTGTGAAGACTTTTTAGAAAGAAGCACACACGATGGTCATTATAAGCTGGTGTGTTTTATTGTCTTAGTTATGACTTGGAGCCCGTGGAAAGCAGTGGCACGTCATTGCCCATAGACTGCAAGATGAGCTCCTGGAGCAGTTGGTCCAACTGTGACCCTTGCCTCAAACAAATGGTAAGCATTCGTTGCCATTCCCCACTGATGTCCCCAAGTGGAAACTGTACTGCCAGCATCTCCAGGAAAATGACTATGAGGCAGGGAGGGCCCCAGCTGAGTTCCAAACCCAGAAGGAAAGGGAAATACCTAAATGGATGAGACTAACCTTGCTGGGAAACCTGAGTGTGGCACAGTGACTAAATGAGTATTGGGAGGAACCATATTCTATAGAAGAGCCCGCCAACCCCACCATGTGAGTTGTTCCTTCAAGTGACATCGGGCTTCTATCTTAAAACCTTTGACTCAGCTGGGTTTGGAGGGCTGCAGTGGTGTGGATGCAGTTTTAGATCAGAATCCCTTCTTGGCCTTAGAAACGCTAACATTTCCAGCTGTTCCTGGGCAGTTTCGCTCAAGGAGCATTGAGAACTTTGGACAATTTAACGGGCAAAAGTGCGTGGACGCTGTAGGAGATAGACGTCAGTGCGTGCCCACGGAGACCTGCAATGACCCTGAGGATGACTGTGAAAATGACTTTCGATGCCATACAGGTAATTCTCCCGTTGCCTAGTGTGGGTTTCGATGTCCCCTCATGAGCGAAAAGAAGAGAAATGTGCTTCCAGACGCTCATGCTTCCAAGCATGAAAAGGGGCTGAGAAAAGGGCCATCTATATAGTCTATACAAAAAATTCAAATACAGGTGTGGTCCCTCCCCTCTATCATTAAAGTATGTTTGATAACTTAAGGAAAAGAGAGAGAATTTGGCCTGAGAGACACGGTGTCTTTCTGTCTTTCCTGATTTTGATTGCAGGCACATGCATAAAGAGGCGACTTCTGTGTAATGGTGACAATGACTGCGGAGACTTTTCAGATGAGGATGACTGTGAAAGTGACCCTCGTCCTCCCTGCCGCAACAAAGTGGTGGAAGAGTCGGAGCTGGCACGGACAGCAGGCTACGGGTCTGTACCCCACGTGGTAGAGGGTTTGAGCTGGTACAAAGAGTAGCCTTGAGTCTGTATTCTGTTTGAATTACATTTGAGCATGAAAGAAGGTAAATGCTGAATCAGTATCTCAAGATCATTTGGACAAACTGCCTGGCCTCGGTAGGCATCTGTAGAATAGACTAGACCATCAGGATGATAGGTGATTACTTCCGAGTCCAGTAAGAGATGAGAAACCTTGTTTATCAACCTCTGGAAGACCATAGCAATATTGAAATGACATGTTAAAATTTGAAATTGAACTGCCAGTAGTAGGTCTGACAATTCGATTCAAATATTTGTATAGCCAGGAAGCCTGTCTTCTGCTGGAATTTCTCTTGGATATATACCTGGGTAGAAATTCTCTCTCAGGAGATGCCAGCGTTCTGGAGATTACCCAAGAGGAAAAGGACAGAGGAAACAGTTCTGATGCCAGATGGGGCTGGGGTTGGGACTCTGGTTCTCATCAAAGAACTGAAATTTCACTTGTTTCCCACACAAACTATAGGCATTCCAGCAGCAGGGTCAGCTCGGATGAGACGTCTTAGACAGTTTAGAACTTAGAGTTACACAGAATAGAGACCATTTGCAGAGATCTGTGCTCTCAGAGTTGGAAAATAACATAGGCCTGAGGTTCTGTACTGTTCTATTTCATTTAGTTAGAGAACATTCCAGGGATGTCCACAGCAAAGTTTCCATTAGCTGTTCTGATCTGTTTTCAGTAAAGGTACTTTGGGTGGATTTGTTGGCAAATTGTCCCCAACAGAGACACAGGTGTTCCCCCGTCCAGTGGTATATTGACAGCGATGGCACATGGCTGTGTTTCATGGCCTGTAATGCAATGTGTCTCTTCATCCTCATAACCCCAGTGCCTTGTTCATCATAGACACTCAATTAATACTGGTGGGTTGATAAATAGGTGAAATAATTAATTAAAATAAATGCTTCTAAAATACTGTCAATTGCAACAGGTAAGATTGAAACTGGGTCTCTGGAAAGAAATTCAGGCTCAGGACTGGAGTCCTGGGAATGGAAATAAGGAGAGGAAAGAAGATGGGGGTGATGGTAAGATTAAGGCCTGATAGAGGGACTAGGGCAGTGGTTCTCAACCAGAGAGAATTTTCCTCTTGGGGGACATTTGGTCATGTCTGAAAGTTGTCAGTGGCCACGACTGTGGGATATGGAAGTGGGGAGCTTTCCGGGGTGGAGGGGTGAGGGAAAACTACCGACATCCAGTGGGTAGAGACCCTGGATGATGCTACAATGCACAGGACAGCAACATGTCAGGAATGCTGAGGTTGAGAAGAACCCTACACTGAGGAACTGGGCAGTTCCTAAGACAGGACCTGTGTATCAGGTTTGGCTGAAAAAAGAGATGTCTCCTCTCTCTAAGGCAGATGAAACATCCACTTGTTTAATCACCATAGGAAAAAAATTTCAGGATACCAAGAGTCAGACCCCAGATAAAACATTTCACGTATCCTTTATCCCTTCATAAAATCTTATCCTAGCAGAGTCCAAATATAACCCACAGTGCCTTTTCCCAGAGCCTAAAAGTAGGAATCTCGAATCACATGGGATGGTCTTGAGCCCTACACTCAGCAGGGTCTCTTCATATTTGGCAGAAATGGAATGGGGGTTGTCCAAAACCTTATAGCTACAGCGTGCTCCAATGAGTCCTGACTCTTCTTGCTGCTTTCCTCAGGGAGAGACTGTGAGTCCATGGTGAAAGCCCATTACTACTTTACTTGCTTTATTTGGGATCCAAGAAACGGTTTTCTCTCTAATCTAAACAAACAGGCTTGAAGCAGGGCATTACCTGTGTTACGTATGTCTCCTTCTATGCAAATTTACATCTGATTTTATAGGAAAAGGATACAGAAACAGTAGCCCTCTTGGCTGAAAAACAACCATTTGTAATCTATAGGTTTCCTTCGTTCGGGGAAGAGAAAATTTGTTCTATCGCCTTTGCCAGGGAGTTTCATAATGAGGCACACCCGAGAGTGGCCAGGACCCCTTAAATGCCTGCCTTAGCACGGTCAGGGCTGGTGATGACGGACGTCACAGGGCTGAGCCTTCAGGACTAAGTGAGAAAGTGGGGACCCAGCTGTGTGGAAAAGTTGGCTGAGAGGTGGAAAATGAGGTAGACTGTGATAGAATCAGCCCACCAACGGTTTTGATTAAGTCCCCCATTACCATGAGCAGTCACCTATAGCTAACTTAGTCTTTATAACCTATTGTTCTCTGACCGCTTTCATGTGCATAATACTTTGAATTTTTCAAGATCTTTTTGCACATTCCCTCTCTTGGCTTTTCATAAAAATCCTGTGGAGCTGGTTAGGGGTGGTATTACAGTCACCTTATAGATCAGAACTGAGTGAAATAAATAAGGCTATTTGACACATTTGTTGCTAGCAGAACTAAAATCCAAGTTTCCCTGACTGATAGAAACTACGTTTTTTTTTTACCCTGACACCTAACCTTCTCTTTCTCCCCACATGCCCATCAGCACTGAGGTCACTCCCCCTACATCACTACAAAGACCACAGGTCAACTCCCTGACTTCAAAGCAAAAACTAACCTTAGAAGATGAAACTCCTTAAATAGCTATTTATTACCCAAATATTTGAATTAAGAGCATAGAAGAGTAGCATAAATCAGTAACTAAGATTTAGGCTTTGTGACCGCCTGGAGGGGTGGGATAGCGAGGGTGGGAGGGAGGGAGACGCAAGAGGGAAGAGATGTGGGAACAGATGTATATGTATAACTGATTGACTCTGTTATAAAGCAGAAACTAACACGCCATTGTAAAGCAATTATACTCCAATAAAGATGTAAAAAAAAAAGAGATTTAGGAAGAGGTTTCAAAATAACAAGTTTTGTTATGATATTGTTCAATACCATTGATATTACATATTATTTACTATACATCTTCATTATGCTTATATGGGGCTATGGGACTACACCAAAATTGAACTAATAGCAGTAAACATCCTAATCACAGCAACATGCTTCTAAACTGTCCAGTCTGGAAAACCTCAAAAAGTTTTATCAGAAGTAATATACAGTCAGATTCTTTTACACATGAAAGTCACAAGCACTCATAGTAATACATTTATACTTGTTTTCATTTGAAGAACTCTCATTTAAGTTCTCATGCCAGGAGAATTCACCTGTATCACACGTATTTCAGCCTCTTGTCTTGTAGGAATCTGAGACTCTCCACAGGTGTTCTGGGAAATCCCCAACCCATCTTGCATTCACTGAAAAAAATATAAATCCAAACCAGCTGTAAATGATGTGCTATACACAAGGAATGACTTTTGTGTGTGATCTAAGCATAACACCACTTCTGTGGAGGGAGCCTGCTCTTCAGTTCACTTGGTAAATTGGAACTGCCTACGGTTCTAGGTGCAGGTGTGAAAACAGGCATCTCTAAGTGCTGCCAAGGAACACATGCTTTTTATTTCCCAGGCGATGACATTCCATCCATGAGAAGTTTTCATGTTTCTTGGCAGAAAAAAATATTGGCTCATTCTAGACTAGACTGGCTGTCTCTGTAGTAGTGGAACCAAATCAGAAGTTTTGAAACATTTCTTGCTTCACTGTAACTTTCCAGATGGATCTAGCCTACTGGGCAATTTGCTGTTCTGTGAAACAAAAACCTTCAAGCTGGGGTATGTATAGCACAGGGTACAAAGTGACTTTCCAAGGGGGAGATAGGTGAGTTTTATGATAATAGTTTCCTCAAGTAAGTCAAGCCTTGTAAGTCAAGTGGTCTCCGATTCTTTTTACCAACAGCATTGAGTGATGTCCTAATCAATTGTCAGGTAATGGACTATAAAAATAACTTTTAATGATAGACTAGCATGTGTTCTTTTTTTGGGGGGGGGCATAAAACTCAGAAGATCAAAGAATTGAGTGACATTGCTGCGACAAAATTCTTTCTATTCTTATCTACTTATTTATGTGAGTTAAATTTCTCAGCATTTACCTCTATAAAAATGGAAAGTAGAAATAAAATTGGTACTCAGCCCTATCTTTTTCTAGCAATAAGGAATATTCACCCATGGGTACAGTAGCTAATCAATTAATTAGAAAGGAAGCCCCATTCATTTCATTGAGAGATAACTATCCAATAAAATTTTACTTAGATTTATTAACTATTTTTAAATTTTAATATACTGAAATAGACTACTAATAATGGTAAATCAAATCCAGAAGAATTTTTTAAATACTTAGACCTTATGGTCAAAGGATATTTAATGTTTTAAAATTTTCAATTAATACCTTTTTCATACAGAAAAGTGTGAAAAAGTGATCAATTAAAACTTCCAAGCGTAAAACTACATTACATTAGGTTAAAATTCTGGAGCAGAAATGGAATAGAAATATGGATTCAAGTATAAAAGGGGGATAAGGGCATATGGGATATCTCCCTATTGTCCACTCATCTTGCCATGAATCTTAAAACTGCTCTAAGAAATAAGGTCTATTTTTAAAAGAAGAAAGAATCCAAAGGAATACCATAAAACATCCAACTGTTAAACATATATAAACATTGTAGTCACTTGATACCCATCATCACTATAGAATTTATATTCCATTGGATTTATTTTTGAAAGAGGCAAAATAATTATATTTTAAAGCATAAATATTTACAGCTTGCTGAGAAGTTATATCCTTTGCAACTACTTAAACTTAAGAGGGAACATTTTAGATGTCCGACTAAAACTGTTTAAGGAGGCATAGTTTATCAACATTTTTAATAGATTAGACACGCAGGAAAATCTGAAGACCGCTACCCAAAAACATGCCATATACATTTCCACCTGCAGAATTTTGCACCCTCATTCCTTCTGCCCTTCAGGCCCCATCCTTCAAAACCCAAATCAAAACCTACTCCTTCTAAAACCCTTTTGATGACCCTGCCATGGGGACCTCCTCCTCTTGGGAACATTGTACATCACTTACCTGTACTATTCATTTGGCACATGTATATTCGTCCTTGGACTACTGTTTGAAATCGGTAATTATAACCAACCCCTTACCTTGAATATAATTTTAATGAGATCAAGGACTGTATTAACTGTCTTAATATTACCCACTGTTTATTACAAACACTACACTATCCGTAGATATAGTACTCTTAAGAATTCATCACCACTATAAGCAAAGATGAATGTCCTTATTCACTGAACACAAAGAGGTGCAGCGTCTCCGTTAATGAGATATATGGAAGACAAGTTCACTACAAAATAAAGAAAATGTACTTGAGGTCTTGTTTAAGAAAACAACACAGATCATTTGTTTCCAGTATTCTATGTCTTTGTATTGAAACCTTAGTAATATTTTTTAAACTATTGCTCACATGTCTGTAGATGCAGGGATGGGTGAAAAATTAAAGCCAAAATTTTAATCTCCCATCCAGGATAAGAGATTTAAGAAAGTAAACTAGATATATAGTGTTTCTTTTTTCCTCTCTTTTTTATTCGAGTGACTAGGTCTAATTTTTGGCCCTTTATTAGAATTTAGGGCCATAGCGTTTTTCATGAAAAGTATTTTTGGGAGAGCAAAAAAGTGAGAAGGAGTTAATTCTAACTATACAGTCAGCCTTGAGAAAGGTATTCCTGAATCAGTTCCTTAACTTGCCTTTCATTCAAGTTGAGCTATAATGTTCATTTTCTGTGTAGATTCAAAGTTTATTAAGAATGTGCTGTTTATATAAAGATGTTTTTTAACTAACCAACTGGCAATAGGATACTCATCCACTTATTTTCCTTGCATTAGCAATGGGTTTGCAGTAAGTCATCCACACTCTTTGACAAATTGCTCTTGAAACCAACAACCGGCTTTGTAATCCAGCTCATTGGAGTTAGGGATGTGGTCCAGAACAATGGAAGACTTTATGCTTTTGTGCCAAGCTAAGTTATAGATGTGAGGAGCAAACCTCCATTTGGCCCCCCTGCCCTGGGGCCATTTATTCCAGATACAGTCTAGACAGCAATGACTATTTCGCCAATTAGTACTTCACAAAGAATGAACTGCTTCTTTTGCATACATTGGTTTTTGGCCTACGAATCAAAGTAAATACTTTTGGGGCTAAACAAGATTCCTATTTCTGAATTAAAGCTTGCCAAATGAAAATATTTTGCTGGGAGAAAAAAGTAGAACGTTTGAGAATGCCTTGCTGGGTGATGACATTTTAGTGTTCCTCTTGTAAGTATAATAGGAGGAAAATAAGCCTGGAGGGAACAAGGTTCTTGACAATCAATGAGACAGCTGGAGGGAAAGGTTTAAGTTTAAAGAGAATGGAGAGAGAAAGAGCCCCAACGTTGATTCACAGATTAAAAATTATATGCATAAGTTATTCTGCCCCATGAGATGCTCTGTTCTCAAATAATGTAAAGCGGTGGTATTAGCTCACCAAGGGAGGCTAGCTAAGGGTTACATCAGTGGAGTTCCACTCTTGAAGCCAGATGGACCCTTGCTTCCTACTTACTGCATTTCTTTCATTGTGCTCAACGGTGCCCTAGTTGCCTAGAAGAGTTTATAAGACCTTCTTAATATGTACTTCCCGCCCAGGACACAGAGCAGAGGTGACCAGGCTCTTGCTTCTATTCCTGATTATATCCCATCATCACATGGGTGATGGGGACATGAGCTGAAGCTCTCTTCCCCCAGTGACTGAGGGCTGCCTCGTGTTAGCTCCTGGTGTCTCCACGCCTACTGTTACTCTGTTCACTCAGGATCAACGTCTTAGGGATGGATCCCCTCACCACCCCTTTCAACAACGAGTACTACAACGGACTCTGTGACCGAGTTTGGGATGGCAACAGCTTGACGTACTACCGCAGACCCTGGAACGTGGCTTCCCTGGCCTATGAAGTAAGTATCCTCAGAAGAAAACACATTGTTCAGCTTTAGCTGAAAAATTGTTTCCATAAGTTTCCTACTGAAAAATATGAAAACTTCAGTAGAATGAAAATTTAATGTGAACTGACTTAAAGAAGAGGAGATGTAGCTTGGGTCTCTTTAGAAAATATGCAGTAGGGCTTCCCTGGTGGTGCAGTGGTTGATAGTCCGCCTGCCGATGCAGGCGACACGGGTTCGTGCCCCGGTC